GGTGCTACTAACCCACAGTGTGTTGTTGAAGAGATACAAAACAGAGAACGGCAGAAAAATCTCTTTATTTGAGAAGCAAAAAATAGCATTTTGTGGCATTTCTGAAAGAAGAAATACCTAACTATTGGATTAGAAATGAAAACTGTGTATTACTTTAATGTCAATCGACGTAGCGTTGCAGTTTTATTAGTTCTGGATGTTTATTTATGTTTTATTGGACAGATTGTGTGAATAAGAGCTGAATCCAGATCAAATGCACACTTTGAGCAGCTCTGACTGATCCTGCTGCTATGTTCCATGGTTGTTGTTTGTTTCTCATGTGTCTTGATATCTGTCTGTTATGTTACACATGGAGCTGCTGTGATGCAAGGAGCATTTCAGACTTGATCTGACTATTAAAGTATTATCCTATCGTATCGTAGCATTTGCACACACACTTACCAACGAGCAGAGACCAGGAGCGCAGGCCTGGAGATCTCTTCAGGTGGAGCAGCGTGGCGCTGTGCTCTTCTACCATCATGTAACCCATCTGAACTCAGACAAACATACTCATACTTTACATGTAGTTAAAGCATATTTCACATGATATGAATACCAGTTAAAGGTCCCATGTCATGCTCTTCCGGTTAGCACCCGTCCCCTTGTGTTATGAAGGTTGTTCTGCATGTAAACGGTCTGCAGAGTCACAAACCCTCAAAGTGCACCCTGTAGCGAGTACAACTCTGACACAGAGAAGACCTGTCTGTGCTGCCCCAGAACGCCTCGTTGGACATTTCTCTTTTTCCATTGGTGCTATGGGCTCAGAACAGTCTCATAATACACACATGCACAAGGATTCAAACTTGTATTTCATGATCCGCAAAAGGATTCAAACTTGTATTTCCGGATCCACACTTGTGTTTTTCAATGCACACGCAAATGTGTTCCGATGCATGTAAATAAAATCCAAATACAGAAAAAAGTTTTACATATGTATTTTTGATCCTCACATATTAGTTTCCCGTTTAAATCCTCTGCACCTGCAAACACAAACCGCTCTCTGTGCACGGATCGCTGTGCATTCGTGTGTGGGTTTTTTTGAGACTCCCCTGACGGTCAGCAGATTCGTACTTGTAATTATTTCTATCTATAGCCAATCAAATGTCTCCTCAATTCTAAGCCAATCATATGAGCGCGCCCCCACGAGGATAGATTTATTGCGTTCATGACGTAGCGCTTCATGTACGCAATTTGCGCAGTCCGGAGCTGACAGGTCCATTGAGCCTGCCTGCAGGCGCTAATCTCAGGACACCTCCACTCTCAGTTTTCGAACAGGAAATGCCCGCAAATACAAGCCTTTATATTATTAAGGTACAGCGCCACTTTCCAAACCATTGATGAATGCTTGTGTACACAAAAACGGCAGGCAAAACCGTTTTAAAATGTGTGTTTCCTGTATGGCGAATACAGCTGCTTTATTTATGTCTGTATGAAGTTGTTGTGAGTGTGGAGGGAGCAGCTACAGGTTAGCTTAGCCTACTCGATCAGTGCACTACGAAGCCAGTGCTAGAAAGTGACCTGTTAACGGGGGGAGCCCCGCCGGTCATTATCGGCCGATATTCACTCTTAATAGTTTGATCGGTGCTCTCTATAAAGGCCGATCAGGAGAGCTGGATCTGATCGATATGGACATAAACACGAGTGAAGTATAACCGGACGCGAGAGAGAGATCAGATCAGCTGCTGAGTCTGACTGAGACACGCAGCTCTGCATGATCACCTGATGCTCCGCCCTCTGTTTAGCGAGCTGACCGGACTGCGCAAAATGCGTATGAAGTGTCATGAACGCAAGAAATCCTACCCTCGTGGGGGCGCGGTCATGTGATTGGCTTAGACTGGAGGAGACATCTGATTGGCTATAGATGAGATAAATGACAAGTACGAATCGGCTGACCGTCAGGGGAGTCTCAAAAAACCCACACACGAATGCAAAGCGATCCGTGCACAGAGAGCGGGTCGTGTTTGCAGGTGCAGAGGATTTAAACGGGAAACTAATATGTGAGGATCAAAAATACATATGTAAAACTTGTTTCTGTATTTGGATTGTATTTACATGGATATGAAACGGAACACATTTGCGTGTGCTTTGAAAAACACAAGTGTGGATCCGGAAATACAAGTTTGAATCCTTCTGTGTGCACGTGTGTATTATGAGACTGTTCTGAGCGCATCGTTTTCTTCCTGAGTACAGTGACGTGCCCATACCCAAATGGATCAATCCGTGGAGCCGTTACGTTAACACACACACACACACACACACACACACACACACACACACACACACACACACACACACACACACACACCATGTATACATAACTTCAGGGGACATTACATTGACTTACATGCATTTCCTGGAGACTTATCCTAACCTTAACCCTAACCAACACATGCCTAACCCTAACCCACACAGATGTAGGTCCCCACAAGTATAGTAACACTAGGCCACACACACACACACACAATCTTTTCTCAGCTTCTCATTTCTCCTCCCTGAGACGGCGGGACGCGGCGAGGCTGTGAGTCGGAACATTGAACAATGTAAATCTATTCTAGTAGACCTCAACAATGGAATTAGGATCAGTAGAAATGGCCATGACATGGGACCTGAAATATACCCTGGAGTTGAAATACAGAAAGTTCTTTATCCTGTCTTCGGTAACCATGAAGGTTAAGGTTAAGGTTAAGAGACCAAATAGATAAAGGTTATTAATTAATTACTCCTATCCTTAATTTAACAAAGGGAACGTGTATATCACAACCATCCTTACTATTCATAATCTGACATGAAGTCTCCTTAGTTTAACCGTTAAAATGTCTAAACTCTTAAATAGATTAATTGTTAATGTTTCTTTAAGAGGTTTTTGTGTCTTATGTGGATTTCTCTGCAGATGTTAATCATTGAGAGTTGATCCAGTCTGTTAATCAAATATGTCTAAGTTAATTAGGGTAATGCAGATTTGTTTCTGTTTTATACATACAGCAATAGTCTCCAAACTTTAATCTGTGGACAGTATTCCGGAGGATTATCCACAGACTTTGTATCAGCAGAGTCCGTGCACCTCTATTGTTTTAGGGTGTGGACAGAGGTGGATACACAAATACAACCAAATGCCTGGTTACATATCACAGGAGGTAGGAGAATAAAATACATGTTTTGCGATTATTTTTCAGAAATTAAACTCCTTAAATAAATCTAAAAACCCACCAAGATACAAAGATGCTCCTGCAGAAGATGCACTGGATGTAATGGACACTTCTCTACCTCAAAACAGCTTTATAAATATACAAACTTGAATACATGTTGCATTATTTACCTTTAAATCTTCTTCCTCTGCGATAGTTTTCGCGTTGCAGTGTAAGAAAACGGTTATTTGTGGAGGAAACACATGTAGTGAAATATAAGGAAGTTATTTTCATGTTAATGCACAACACTACTTCCTTCCTGGATCTCTCGCCTCTGATTGGACGAGCTCACTTTCTCGCTGCCTTCAAAATAAAAGCATCAAACGCATACATGTAGATTTACTGCGCACGTTTTTCGTTTTTCATACATCTAGAATACATTTTCAATAAACATTATCTTCCTTATTTGTTATACTAGCTTTTACTTTAACATTATTTCTAGAATATTCGTGTTTTTGTTTGTTTGTGAACTACTTTGAAAAGCCAACTACTCTTAACATATATCACGTCTACTCCGGTCTACTCTTGGAAAAATACGATATGGGTTTTTAATATGTATATATATATTTAACATATCTATCCTGCTCACATATCTGTATATATGTACATCCTACCAGATCTTACAGGGTGTCCCCGGGGGGTCTTAAAAGGTATTAAAAGTTGATAAATCAATTTAGCGAAAATGAAGGAGCCAATTAAAAAGTATTAAACGGCATTTTCCAAGGTATTACATGTTGTAGCTTGTTTTCAATAAGTATATGAATGGTCCAAAGAGGTTGTATTCTACAGTGTGCCTGAATGTAATCATTGCGTAGGTGTGTAGTGTGATTCTGTGTAGTTTATTGATGGCATCCCGTTGGGTTTGACGTCATCTGAACAGGACATCGCGCGCTCACTGCTTGATAGCGCGAAGGTCCGTTTACGCCGGTTGTTAAACAACATCGTTTTGGGGAAATGCAAGTCTGCGTCCAAATGGTTGGAAGATAAGGAGGAAGGACAATCAATACTGTATATAGTCAATGTGAGGTAAAGTGTGTCGCCAAGGTAACCGGTTAAAACTCGAAGTGGCGATAAGGTCTTAAAATGTATGGAAAGGGTCTTAAAAAAGGTCTTAAAAGGTATTATATTTCACTTCAGGATTCCTGCATACCCTGTCCTAGTTTACCTCACATTATTTGTGTTAACTTCCCTGTCATAAAGTAAAGTTCTATAAGATTCACTACACACATATTTATTTGTGTGTATAAATGCTTTTGTTTTATCAAATATTTTATTTAATTTATTTAATTTATTTAATTTATTTAATTTATTTTATTTATTTTATTTATTTTATTTATTTTATTTATTTTATTTATTTTATTTATTTATTTATTTATTTATTATTTTATTGTATGTATTTATTGCATTGTTTTGATACATTTTATTTTATTTATGTTATCCACTGTAGTCCAGCAGATGGCAGTAGGGCTCCAAATCAACGGCAAAACAAAACGTCTGCGCATGCGTACTCCGGCACACTGGTTAGAAAACAATGGAGTCAGACGTACACACCGGACTGTCTTAAATAACGGAATCAATAAGCACTTTTATACACCAGTATTATAAAATAAGAGCGGAGGTTAAACCCAGGAAACTGTGACACCGTCTACAAATGATTAAACTTTAAAGAAATACTGCTTAATATAGAAATAGTGCTGAGTAACTGAGTTCCCCTGCTGTGTCTGATTGTCCTCTGAAGTCCTTCTGCGTCTTTGTCTGTGAAATAAGAGTAAAAGGTGAGTACAAATCTTAAAATATAAGCTTTAATGTTCTGATTATCTATTAGGAATACATGTCCTTCAGGGGCGATGGCTAATCTTGTGGTAAGATCTATTATAGCATTGACTGTGTTACATATTTCTAATTCATCTGGGTTAGGAATCAACTTTAATATTATGATGTGTTACGAGCTGTCTATTTAGCTACGGAAGATACGAGCTGTCTATTTAGCTACGGAAGATACGAGCTGTCTATTTAGCTACGGAAGATACGAGCTGTCTATTTAGCTACGGAAGATACGAGCTGTCTATTTAGCTACGGAAGAGGATTAGGGCCATATGAGATACAATTTATTAAGATGTGACCGGATGTGACCAAATGGAAATACCTTTGAATTTCTGAGAAAAATATCTGATCTGTTTTTTTTATTATTATATTTATTACAGTTATATATATATATATATATTTGTAATTAAAGGTCCCATGACATGCTTTTCTGTTTCTTACCCGTCCCCTTGTGTGTTATGTAGCTTGTTCTGCATGTAAACGGTCTGCAAAGTCACAAACCCTCAAAGTACACCCTGTAGCGAGTAAAACTCTAACACAGAAAATACCTGTCTATGCTGCCCCAGAACGCCTCGTTGGACATTTTTGTTTTTCCATTGTTTGCATCCTGGTCACAGTGAAGTAACGACGACCAAATGGACCAATCCGTGGAGCTCCTCAACACACACACACACACTCACTCACTCACTCACTCACTCACTCACTCACTCACTCACTCAGACTTATCTTTTCTCAGGCTCTGGGTGTTTCTCAATCTTGAGTACGCTTGCTTGGTAGCACATGTCTTCCGAGTCACTTGCTTCAGAAGCGAGGCAAGAATACTTCCTGGCATTCGGAAAACGAAGAGTGGAACAGGCTAGCAAGTGTGCATGTGTGCGTCAGATGAGAGGCTCCGCCTTAAATTTTCCGCCACAGATTTGGGGAAATTGGTCCGTATGCAAAGCATTGTGGGGATTTTAAGACTGCGGAGTCTACACATGTGCAGCCTCAAAATGTCTCGCTACGAAGTACGCCTAACCGGGTTCGGTAGAATTCCAAGTATGCTGGACATTGGAACAGTCCTTCGGCGGCACTCGATGACGTAGTATGCTTGAAATAGTGGCCGTTTCTCAATCTTGAGGATGCTGGCTTGGTAGTCGCGTACTTCCAAGTCACTTCCTTCAGAAACGAAGCAAGTATGCTTCCAAGCCACGGCTTCGGAAAACGAAGAAGAATGGAACAGGCTAACAAGTGTGCCACTCTCTCTAACGGTTTCAACATAAACTGTACCGAAAATAAATACCTCACGATGTCTATCTAATTATGAACTTGCTTTACTTTCAGGAACACATTTTTGGTGATAACAAACAAATGTAACAAAGTAACATATTTACCAACACGTGTTATATGCCACTACACACTTACATTTCAATGTGTGCTGCGTCGGTTCAGCCATTCTCCGCAAAGGTTTTTGAAATTGGTCCGTACGCAAAGCATTGTGGGGATTTTAAGGACGCGAAGTCTACCCATGTGCAGCCTCGAAATTTCCCCCAAACCAAGGACGCGGCCTCGCTGGAATTCCAAGTATGCTGGAGATTGGAACAGTCCTTCGGCGGCACTCGATGACGTAGCATCCTTGAAATATTGGCTTGGAAGCCTGTATCCTCGAGATTGAGAAACGGCCCGTGACTCTGAAGCAGCTTTACTCGAGATTGAGAAACACCCAGTGAGTGTGTGCGTGCTCAGGCTGAGTTCAGGTGAGTTTCGCGGTGTCTCGCAGATCCCCCGCAGCAACCAGGAAACGACACCAGTAAGCCAGCTCACACTGTCCGCTCCTCGAGCCCCGCAACGTCCCGCCAACACGGCCCCCAGACCCCACGCAGCATTCTCATCTGTTTGTCATTACTGGTGTCATTTCCTGGTTGCTAACAAACGCCATTGTAAAACATAATCACTGATGTTCCGCTGTAACGGTGGTGGACTCAACAGAACAGAGTGGGCGAGCTGACCAATCAGAGCACAGTGCGCTCACAGGGAGGGAGGGTCTATGCTGCCCCAGAACGCCTCGTTGGAGATTTCTCTTTTTCCGTTGTTGTCTTCCTGGTCACAGTGACGTGCCCATACGCAAATGGACTAATCTGTGGAGCCGTTACGTTAAGACTTCCACACACACACACACACACACACACACACACACACATACCATGTATACATCACTTCAGGGGACATTACATTGACTTAAATGCATTTCCTGGAGACTTATCCTAACCTTAACCATAACCAACACATGCCTAACCCTAACCCTAAACCTTACCCTAACCCTAAACCTTACCCTAACCCTAATCCTAAACCTAACCAAGTCTTCACCCTAAAATTAATGATTCCCCTCATGGGGACCTCCAATTTGTCCCCATAACGGCCCGTCGACACTACAGGCGTCAAAAAATGCTTTCAACGCTTCGCCCATTCATTTGAATGGGGTGACGTAGGATATTTTCAAACTTTGCCGAACTGCATTGTGGGTAGCATGGCAAGGCGTTGCAAGCATCGCGAGCGTCTATCGGCGTCAAAAGTTGAACAATGTTCAACTTTTGAGGCTCGATGCTTGCTCGAAGCTGGCGTCAGCCAATGAAATCCCGTTTATGCAAATCTGCCAGTACAAGCGCTAGCCAATCAAACCGCGTGTATGCTGGGAGAGACTATGCAGGTCATTTCCTCATATTCAAAAAAATGGAGGGAAAATTGATTATAGCGGTAGTGAATCACCCGGTGCTGTATGATCAGTCTCTGTTCATCTACCGGGATACAAACCGGAGGAGCGAGGCATGGAGGGAGGTGGCAGAGACAGTGGGTGAAACTGGTAGGTTTTCGCCTGTTTGGGGATTTTATATCCAGTTTACTTTGTTTTAACTTTGCTATTGCTTTGTATGTCGGGGGCGGGAGATTCATGTGATTGGTTGTTGGTCGCGTTGCTCGCAAAAAATCGCCAAGCCTCAGACACGCCCAGCTTCAAGATTTTTCGACGCCTGTAGTGTAGACGGGCCGTAAGGGCGGCGAGTCCCCACACGTGACTGTGTAAACAGTTTTAGGTCCCCACAAGTATAGTAATGCTAGGCCACGCACACACACACACACACACACACACACTCTTTTCTCAGCTTCTCAGGATTTCTCCTCCCTGAGACGGTGGGACGCGGCGAGGCTGCGGGTGTGTGTGTGTTCGGGCTGTGTTTCGCTGTGTCTCGCAGACGGCCACTGGGCTCACAGAGGGGGGGGGGGGGGGGGGGGCAGGAGCTCCAACAAGCCGTGTAGGACAGAGAGTGAATACACAGACTATACAGAGATGCTGCGAGAAACCAATGAGAGTTTGGAACATTGAACAATGTAAATCTATTCTAGTAGACCTCAACGATGGAATTATGATCAGTAGAAATGGCCATGACATGGGACCTTTAATGTTTATTATTTCTTTATTGTTTCTTATTGAAATCAGATAATTGAGATGTCCTCATGTGTCCCTAATCCTCTTCCTTGAGTATAAAATACAACACACACCACTTGTTGACATGTTTCTGTATTTTACGTGACGTATTTGAAACGTAATTACATCTCTGTGATTGCTTTATGTCTCTGTTTCTGTTTTACTGCGTATATAATTACCCTGAGCCATTTAAAAGTTAATGACTAGTGTGTGTGTTCATTTCCCATCATTTATATGGCTGTTGTTTCCATGATTAGTGCTCTGCCTGTGATTGGATAACAGTGAGAGGAGGGCGGGGCTTAGAGGCAAAGACATCTCCCAGTAGCAGGACAGTCCTCATGCTTCAGTAGACATGACCAGCTATAGGAAGCTAATAGAGCTTTAATCTTTATATATCTTTACATATATATAACGTGCTCTATTCACAGATAACCGCAGAGGAAGATGTCAGAGGTCAACTTACCGAAGCGCAAGGAGAAGTGTGAGAACTGCACCAAACAGGTGAGTTCCTGCATCATATTTAAAGCACATTTTCATACGGAAATGTCAGCGTTCGGCCTGTGTAATGTGGAGCGTCACTTTAACAGCATATTCTAGCATTAAATACCATGTCTTTTTTTGTGTGTACTTGTATTGCTGTGTTTGTGGCCCTATAGTGACTTTATATTTGGATCTGCTTTGTAATCGTGCTTCTCAGGAGAAAAGCTGCACAAAATAGTAGTTTGACAGAAAGTGGCTTTGACTGATAAAACAAGACACGAAAGAGATCACCTGGTGGAGTTTGCGGATATTTACGAAATAATGAAAACCATAACTAGTTGGAGACTTAGTTTTTGCTCACATATCAGTTGATTCTCCTATGCATGCTGAATTTAAAAACTAATGTAATATGTATCGATGTTTCACACAGTGCAACAAGAAGCAGAGTGAAGATGGTGCCGACTCACACCTGGAGAAAGAGGAAGTCAATGGACAGGTAATGCAAAATAAATCCTCCTGTGATGTTCCTACACTCAAGTATCCCAACCTTGAGTATCTGCTCAAATCTGATGATGTGTTTTCTCTTCACTTAAACCACTAAGCTTCTTTAATCACACATTTATATGGATGCACTTCGCTTGTTTGGTCTGCCCCTCTTAGTCTCCGTTGACTAAGATTTCTTAAGACATTGTATCCGAGTTATAGTGTTTTTAAGGACTTGTTTCCAAAATAAATGTGAGCCCCTCTTCGGTAAGCACGAGCTCAAGCTTCTGCTTGATTCACGGCACAGAAACTCTCACACATCCGTCAGATTCCTAGCATTCACCAAGCATGGGAGGAGAGATGGCATCAAGTTGCATTATGGGAAGTGTAGTTTCCAATGAGCAATGGTCAAGAAATGTCTCCCTCTGTTGCTCCGACCAATATTTATTGAAAAGGGCCCTATCACTACATACTGATATACACCTGAACATCAGCAGGAGAGGACTCTTTAAAGTAGAGACACTACACACTGATATACACCTGAACATCAGCAGGAGAGGACTCTTTAAAGTAGAGACACTACATACTGATATACACCTGAATATCAGCAGGAGAGGACTCTTTAAAGTAGAGACACTACATACTGATATACACCTGAACATCAGCAGGAGGGGACTCTTTAAAGTAGAGACACTTCATACTGATATACACCTGAACATCAGCAGGAGAGGACTCTTTAAAGTAGAAACACTACATACTGATATACACCTGAACATCAGAAGGAGAGGACTCTTTAAAGTAGAGACACTACATACTGATATACACCTGAACATCAGCAGGAGAGGACTCTTTAAAGTAGAGACACTACATACTGATATACACCTGAACATCAGCAGGAGAGGACTCTTTAAAGTAGAGACACTCCATACTGATATACACCTGAACATCAGCAGGAGAGGACTCTTTAAAGTAGAGTCACTACATACTGATATACACCTGAACATCAGCAGGAGAGGACTCTTTAAAGTAGAGACACTACATACTGATATACACCTGAACATCAGCAGGAGAGGACTCTTTAAAGTAGAGACACTCCATACTGATATACACCTGAACATCAGCAGGAGAGGACTCTTTAAAGTAGAGACACTACATAGTGATATACACCTGAACATCAGCAGGAGAGGACTCTTTAAAGTAGAGACACTACATACTGATATACACCTGAACATCAGCAGGAGAGGACTCTTTAAAGTAGAGACACTACATACTGATATACACCTGAACATCAGCAGGAGGGGACTCTTTAAAGTAGAGACACTACATACTGATATACACCTGAACATCAACAGGAGAGGACTCTTTAAAGTAGAGACACTCCATACTGATATACACCTGAACATCAGCAGGAGAGGACTCTTTAAAGTAGAGACACTACATACTGATATACACCTGAACATCAGCAGGAGAGGACTCTTTAAAGTAGAGTCACTACATACTGATATACACCTGAACATCAGCAGGAGAGGACTCTTTAAAGTAGAGACACTACATACTGATATACACCTGAACATCAGCAGGAGAGGACTCTTTAAAGTAGAGACACTACATACTGATATACACCTGAACATCAGCAGGAGGGGACTCTTTAAAGTAGAGACACTACATACTGATATACACCTGAACATCAGCAGGGGAGGACTCTTTAAAGTAGAGACACTACATACTGATATATACCTGAACATCAACAGGAGAGGACTCTTTAAAGTAGAGACACTCCATACTGATATACACCTGAACATCAGCAGGAGAGGACTCTTTAAAGTAGAGACACTACATACTGATATACACCTGAACATCAGCAGGAGAGGACTCTTTAAAGTTGAGTCACTACATACTGATATACACCTGAACATCAGCAGGAGAGGACTCTTTAAAGTAGAGACACTACATACTGATATACACCTGAACATCAGCAGGAGAGGACTCTTTAAAGTAGAGACACTACATACTGATATACCTGAACATCAGCAGGAGAGGACTCTTTAAAGTAGAGACACTACATACTGATATACACCTGAACATCAGCAGGAGAGGACTCTTTAAAGTAGAGACACTACATACTGATATACACCTGAACATCAGCAGGAGAGGACTCTTTAAAGTAGAGACACTACATACTGATATACCTGAACATCAGCAGGAGAGGACTCTTTAAAGTAGAGACTCTACATACTGATATACACCTGAACATCAGCAAGAGAGGACTCTTTAAAGTAGAGACTCTACATACTGATATACACCTGAACATCAGCAGGAGAGGACTCTTTAAAGTAGAGACACTACATACTGATATACACCTGAACATCAGCAGGAGAGGACTCTTTAAAGTAGAGACACTACATACTGATATATACCTGAACATCAACAGGAGAGGACTCTTTAAAGTAGAGACACTCCATACTGATATACACCTGAACATCAGCAGGAGAGGACTCTTTAAAGTAGAGACACTACATACTGATATACACCTGAACATCAGCAGGAGAGGACTCTTTAAAGTTGAGTCACTACATACTGATATACACCTGAACATCAGCAGGAGAGGACTCTTTAAAGTAGAGACACTACATACTGATATACACCTGAACATCAGCAGGAGAGGACTCTTTAAAGTAGAGACACTACATACTGATATACCTGAACATCAGCAGGAGAGGACTCTTTAAAGTAGAGACACTACATACTGATATACACCTGAACATCAGCAGGAGAGGACTCTTTAAAGTAGAGACACTACATACTGATATACACCTGAACATCAGCAGGAGAGGACTCTTTAAAGTAGAGACACTACATACTGATATACCTGAACATCAGCAGGAGAGGACTCTTTAAAGTAGAGACTCTACATACTGATATACACCTGAACATCAGCAGGAGAGGACTCTTTAAAGTAGAGACTCTACATACTGATATACACCTGAACATCAGCAGGAGAGGACTCTTTAAAGTAGAGACACTACATACTGATATACACCTGAACATCAGCAGGAGAGGACTCTTTAAAGTAGAGACACTAAATACTGATATACACCTCTTTTACCCCCCAGTTCCCTGAAGAATCCCCCCTGCTGCTCAGCTCCTGTCTGTCCTGTGACGGCTGTCTGTCGGAGGAGGAGAGTCTGAAGATCTCTCAGCAGAACCTGGAGGAGCTGGAGCGAGTGCTGGCGCTCAATAAGGTATAAACTAATAATAATAACAATAATAAAAGAACCTCTGAAATCGGACAATGTCGGGGAGTGTTGCACTTCGAATAACATCCGAGAAACGGGACAAACGATTTAACTTAAGGGTGAGGACATTTTTATAAACTTTAAAGGTGATGGATTACAATTATTGTTTTTTTTTAATACAACTAGTTTTGTCTTTGGGAGCATTTCATATTCACAAGAGAAAAATGTGAATGGCTCCAGACCAAATAATGCACACTTTACTTGGAAAAAGGGAAGGCAATGGAGTCCAAATATGTGTATTTGATCCACCTTACCTTTAGTGTTTGTCACTATTTCCTTTATTTCTTAATGTTATACTCTGTGTGTGTACCGGTGTACCGGTGATGTCAGTATGTTGTGTGTATATAATGTTTGATCTCTATATATTTTCTTGAAAAAGGGGAGTTTCACACTTTAAAGATGTCCCTCTGCTGTGTGTCCTCGCTCTCAGAAGTGTGACGTGTCGAAGCGGCGCGTCCTGGTCGCCTCGGTGTGTCCGCAGTCTCTGCCTTTCTTCGCTGTGAAGTTCGGAGTGGACATCACGGAGGCAGCGCACAAACTCTGCGGCTTCCTCAAGAGTTTAGGTGAGCACTTAGAATAATTGTTATTTTACTCTTTTTTTAAAATTTAATTTGTATTCTTATTTAATTTGTGTCCCTTTTTATTATTTAAAAATTAATTATTATTTTTAATTTTTTAATTTGTTTTATCTAATTCTTATTTTGTTTTATTAATTAATTTAGTTGTATTTATTTGTATTTAAATTGTATTCTTATATCATTTTAATGTCATCATTTTGTATTTATTCATTTTTATTTATTTTATACTTTTTCTTCATTCCTGTGTTTACTGACTTCTATTGGTAGAATTGTTTTTATTTGTGATTTATGAAGCACTTATCGTCACTTTTGTGTATGAAAAGTGCTTTATAAATACAGTTTGATACCCTAACCAACACAGTACAGAACCACAGATGCTCCACTTCCCATTTTCCTTTATCTGATCTTTCCCTCACCTCTCTGTTGTTGTTGTTGTTGTTGTTTGTGTGTCCCTGTAGGTGTGCACTTTGTGTTGGACAGCACTCTGGCTGCAGGCTTCAGTATCTTAGAGAGTCAGAAGGAGTTTGTTCAGAGGTTTCGCCGGAGGAACCAAGACTCCACCGCTCTGCCCATGTTCACCTCCTCCTGCCCGGGTAAACCTCCCTCTCTCCTCCCCGTTTACCCCCCACTGTCTCCCTGGTTCAGCCAATCAGAGGTGGGAAGTAGTGGAGTACAAATACTTCATTACTGTACTTAAGCACATTTCTCTGGTATCAGTACTTTACTCCACTACTTATTTTTCTGACCACTTTTTACTTTGACTTCTTACACTTTGAACCCAAATACCTGTACTTTCTACTTCTCACATGTTGAACTCAAATACCTGTACTTTCTACTTCTTACATGTTGAACTCAAATACCTGTACTTTCTACTTCTTACATGTTGAACTCAAATACCAGTACTTTCTACTTCTTACATGTTGAACTCAAATACCTGAACTTTCTACTTCTTACATGTTGAACACAAATACTTGTACTTTCTACTTCTCTCATTTTCCAAACAGCTGGTTCCTTTAGTCTGAATGTGTGTTTGGTGCGTGATCATTATTCTTTAGAGTCATTGCGTGCCTATTGATTTGAACACGATCCGTGTATCCATAATTTCCTGGTCTTCTCTAAAGAAGAGGGACCAATGGAAACGTTGTCATGTTGCCGTTGTTCAGCATGGAAACATTCATTAGCTAACAATGCATTACATTACATTGCATTTAGCTGACGCTTTTATCCAGAGCGACTTACAATAAGTGCGTTCGACCAACAAAATACAAACTTGAAGAAAACAGAATCATAAAGTACATCAGGTTTCATAGAGCAAAACATTTCAAGTGCTACTCAACTGGCTTTAGATAAGCCAGCCCTTTATTAGTATATAAGTGCTTTGTTATCTCTCGAAGTGGAGTCGAAAGAGATGAGTTTTCAGTCTGCAGCGGAAGATGTGTAAGCTTTCTGCTGTCCTGATTTCAATGGGGAGCTCATTCCACCATCTTGCAGCCAGGATAGCAAACCCACGTGTTTTTGCTGATGGGAACTTGGGTCCCCCTCGCAGCGAGGGTGCAGCGAGCCGTTTGGCTGATGCAGAGTGGAGTGCACGTGCTGGGGTGTACGGTTTAACCATGTCCTGGATGTAGGAAGGGCCAGATCCATTCGCAGCATGGTAAGCAAGTACCATTGTCTTGAAGTGGATTCTAGCAGTTACCGGAAGCCAGTGAAGGGAGCGGAGGAGCGGAGGAGCGGAGTGGTGTGGGAGAATTTAGGAAGGTTGAAGACCAGACGAGCCGCTGCATTCTGGATGAGCTGCAGAGGTCGGATGGCACATGCAGGTAGACCAGCCAGGAGGGAGTTGCAGTAGTCTAGGCGTGAGATGACGAGAGCCTGGACCAGAACCTGAGTCGCTTTCTGAGTCAGCTGGGGACGCATCTTCCTGATGTTGTAAAGCGTGTATCTGCAGCAACGGGTTGTAGCAGCGATGTTTGCAGTGAAGGACAGGTTGTTATCTAGGGTCACACCCAGATTCCTTGCAGTCTGAGTCGGGGAAACAACTGAGGTGCCGATGTTGATTGTTAGGTCAAGAGTGGGACGATCTTTTCCCGGGAGGAAAAGCAGTTCAGTCTTGTCAAGGTTGAGCTTGAGGTGGTGAGCAGACATCCACTGAGAGATGTCAGCTAGACAAGCAGAGATGCGTGCGACGACCTGGGTCTCTGAGCGGGGAAAGGACAGAATTAATTGGGTGTCGTCAGCGTAGCAGTGGTAAGAAAAACCATGCGGGCTAATGACTGATCCGAATGACATTATTGTTCTATTATTATAAAGGGAGGTCAGGTACTCTTTAAAGCAGCTGCTAGTTATGGGTACTTTTTACTGAAGTACACTTTCAAAGCCTCTTTACTTTCACTTGAGTAAAGAAGTTTAGTCAGTACTTCTACTTTCACCAGAGTATTTTTAAACACGAGTATCTGTACTTCTCCTTGAGGAAAGGAAGTGTGTACTTTAACCATATCTGGAGGTAATGAACCACTGCCCTAATGGTAGAAACCAGAGGATGTAGAAATGGCTTGTTGTTGACGAGGGAAACGCACTGGACTTCAGGTCAATGTGAGATTTGTAATATTTGTTGATTTTGCAATATTTAAACAAAGAGTGGGGCAACACACGTATGAGTGACTGAAAACTGTTATTTGTTTGACAGGAAAAAGCACAACAACACACAAATAGACTTTGTATTGATCCAGGGATGTTGAAACTTAAAGGTGGGGTAGGTAAGTTTCAGAAACCGGCTCGAGTGCACTAACATTTGAAAGTACACAGCGGAAAAGAATCCGCCCCTTCCTTCAGACTTCCTTACAGAGCACCTCCTCCAACACACATGAACGCGCACATGACGTCAGCAGACTGGTGAAAGTGGCCGCCTGTTGCTGGAGAGTCATTGAAGTACTGCTGCAATGCACGCCCAATGACGGCACGCCCAATGAGGGCACGCCCAATGAGGGCACGCCCAATGAGGGCACGCCCAATGAGGGCACGCCCAATGACGGCACGCCCAATGACGGCACGAGATACATTTGTGCGTGCACGAGATGGAAGGCTGACAGACAGGGCGGCAATCCAATCCGTTTAGCCGGGCCGGCTAAACGGATTGGATGTACTTCTTACAGCAACACGGCTTCTTCCACAGATGACATTTCTTTATGGATTTTTTGTCAAAGCACTTCAGATATTCATTGCTATCGGATGTTAAGAGCATTCCATGGAATATAACAAAAAGTGTATCTCGAGCCGGTTTCTCAAACTTACCCCACCTTTAAAGATGTAATTGAATTACAGACTGTATCAGTGTTTCCAGAGCAAAACGCTGAGTATTAGCAGAAAATATACAAACATTTGTTGTTGTTTATTCTGAGGACATGTTACCTAGAAGGACATCAAATGTAAGGCATCAGTTTGCACAAAGTACCTTAAAGCAGATGTGTGTCTCGGTAGTTGAGGTTAAACTGATGATTTAAAGAGCTTTCAAACGTAGTGCTTAGTTTTAACAAAGCTTGTACATTTCTTTTTTTAAATGAGTGAATATTCTCGTATTTCTTTTTGTCTCTCCGCTCCTCTGGTTCCCCAAAATAACCCTTTTTAATCTTAGCAGAGCAACAACACTGAACTGATCCTGCAACAGCTCTTATGAAATACCTCAGAGACCCGAGTAGTGTCCTAACATGTGTTTTTCTTAACTCTGCTGAGCTCGCAGCACTACGGCCCTCGACATGAGGAGGAGTGAATGGTTTGATAGCCGAGATATCAGTGGGGCTGCAGGGAAGAGATAGAGAAGCTCCCACCACTCCCTTCAGCACAGATATGAACCCAAGAGAGACTTTATCCAACAAATGCATTGACTTCCATTCATTCAGCTTGTAGGGTTAGAGTTATCTTGAGTGTTGTGTGTAGAGGGTTAAGTGTTAGTTTCACAATGTGTGTTAATCAGAAACAGGTAGGTTAACACAAACAAGGAAGTGTACAAGGTGTTGTGGTGCATACATTAAAATAAAACAAATATTTAAAACACATAGGATAGGAGAGCAATTTGAAGAAAACTATAATAACATTAAAAGAAATAGTAAAAATAACAGTATTTACATTGCATATGGTTAATAATCATTTGTGTGTGTG